TTCGCGCTCCTTATGGAACCCAGAGCTTCACAAGAGCCCACCACCGGTCTCTGTCCTGAAACAGACAGTACACACCCTTCCACCTCGTTTCCCTATTATCAATTTTACTATTATCCTCCCATCTACCCTTAGGTCCCCCAGGTGATCTCGTCCTTCAAGCTTCACAACAAACAAGACTAACCAGTGCGTCACATCGGCTTTGCATATTAACCAACGTTTCGGCAGTCACTGCAGTTGCCATTTTCAAGATGAATGTGTAGTGGGACGATTTCTGAAAGCGTTATGTAGGGAAGACCGTAGGTGGCGACTTAAGATCTGGTGGTTGAGCTAACTGGTGAGGAGAAGGAGCGCCTTCATGGATTCTGAACACTATGGATACGATTAGGCCAGTACACTGCGGTATCACAGAGAAATAAGTGATATCTCTAAGCACGTTGGATGCATAACCTCTGTCTATTATGGTCATAATTTATATGACCAACAAACCAGAAATGTTAGGTTCGTCAAACCTCAGGATTAAGTGACTCTGCTTCGAGAGAGGCCACGTCACTCAGACAGTCATCGCACTGCACTCGCTCTTTGTGCAAGGACACAGACAATTAACGCGACGCTTTCGTCTCTTTGAAGTAACAAGAATGAAGTGTCCTCCTTCTAGTAAGAGGTGGTCAAGTACCTTTGTCGCGAGCCGCACGGATTAATTTAAACCGACTATGCATCAAACAGGCCAGATAAATTTCTTACCTACTTTAAAAAATATTTAAACAGCTCTCGGTTGAGTGTGTCTGACGAATAAACTAACTCAGATACCTTGAATTGATCGTAAAATAGAACCCTAAATTTCATTACCACGTTCACAACAGCCTACCACTGGTTTCTATACTGAGGATGATGACTTCATTCCACATTCCCGCATCCCGTTTCTTTAAAATCCACTTTAAACTTAGCCTGTCATCAATGCTTAAATCTCCCTAGTCCTCCCTTTGTTTTAGGTTTCAAGACTAAAATTTTGTGTGGATTTTTTCATCTCCCTACACTTTCTACAAACCTCACCCCTGTTTCGTTCTTCTTAATTGTTTCATCCTAATAGTTTTATATGAATACTGATTACGGAGCTCCTCATTGTGCAATTTTATCCATCCACCCTCACCCTCTTCCCATCACTTACCCTCCCTCCTGCTTTCAAATACCCGCAATCTCTCTTTCTCTTAGGGCGAAGGACTTCACACCCGCATAAGCAGTCTACGTGCCAAGCGGAACAAGCCCATCACAGTTGTGTGCAAAATCAAATTCAATTGAAATCTGGTGAGTACAGTTGGATATTAAACACACGGACAGACATATAGGTGAGCACATAGTTTACAGATTTTATGCACACAAAATCCTCCTTTGTTGACAAAGAAACCAGAGAAGTGCGGACACTCGCCTACATCCCGCCGTGTCTGTCGCTCTGTATAAAGAAATTCCTGGCGTAAAGGTAAATAACCAAAGGGAAACAGAACACCATTCCGAATTTACCTCAAAACAATCACAGCACATTCATCCGTAAACATAATTTCTAATTCCTACATTCAAACAACCAGTCCGCAGTCTTTAATCTAGTGCGCTGTGTCCCAATAAATGACTCATAATTAAATTTTTCTTCGCTAACTCAGCGGTTCGGCTGCCACAGCCGAGACCTGAATTCCTGGTGAAATTTGTTTCCTACGTTTTATTAATATTTGCTTCAGACTAAAGTATGTTACTGGACAAAATCTTGGACCGAGATTTCAACCCGGGACCTCCCGAGTACGAGGCAGGAGTGCCAACCATTCGACCGCCACATGCAGCCCAGCGTGAGTAGTGGTTCCATGTTTCAGTTCGTCTTCAGTTACGGATTTAAATCGCGGCATGCTTTATCACAGCTAACGCAAACATACGTCCGGCGACGACATTAATTTTTTCGTCGCCGTTTCCCTCAGTTTAATTCTTACGTGAAATAATAATCAGCGATGCGAGAACGTTCAAATTAAAATCAGAGCTCGTTACTGACTCTTTTAATCCTTAATTATTCTGTTTACAACCGTGAGAGGAAACGCATACAAACACCAGAAGGGACGAGTGAAATGCACAAACGTCAGGTGTAGATGAGATAATAATATCAATTTTGAGCATGTGGGTTGGATTCAGTTAGCTGAGAATATGCCAGGCTCTTGTGGACAAGAGAAGACCTTACTGTTCCACAGAAGCAGAAAAGTTACGGAGCACACAAGTAACGCAGACCTTAAAGAAATACCACGAAAGTAGTCTCATAATTTCCTTAGTTTAAAAGTGTCGTAAAGTGAGAGAACAAACAAAGAAACAAACATTGCGTGTCTTTGGAGACTGTAACGCGCAGGAACAGGACAGACAGAAGTACACTCTCGTTGTGCTGTGCGCGCTGTGAGCCAGTAAACCTTATAAAGTGGCCGTTCGTTCAGGCAATATCAGCCCTAGAACGTAGTACACATAAATCAGATGTAGTTGTTTAGTTTATTATCCTTATTAAGCCAACAGGACGCGTGGACAGCAGCGTGTGACCGCAATGAATCATCCTGCAGGCCCCGGTAAGTAGACTGCCCGCTCGACACCCCGTCAGTCACAGTGGCTTGAAAAATGATTCATTCTCCACTACTTCTGTCCTTGTCTTCTTTTCCCCCCATAGTTCTCCATCTGTTTCCTTCCTTAGTTACTTTGCTTTTCTCATAATTCTCCACTTATATTTCCCTTCCACTGCTGCTCTACAATCAGTTTGTTCCATTTCCCTCATTCAAATTGTTTTCTTCCTTCTTATGTTCTTGTAAACACAACAGAGACTTCAAGTTTCATAAAATCAGAGCATACAAAGTTAACATAATCTTTGATCAACCTGTAGCAAGTTTGTTACTGAACAGGCTGACATTCAGTCATTTACCTCGTTAGTTCGTCGGTTTGTTAATTGGGTACCTAGTTAGTCAGTTAATTAGGTGTAAAGGTAGGCAGTATATCCATAGGACAACTACACAGTTCAGTTTAGGTTTTATACAAAGCATGCAGTCAAGTACCTATCCCGGAAACCTTGTAACAGCTTTATAACTATTTTCCTATCCAACTAAGATATTATTGGTGTTTAAAAAACTAATAAAATGGAATTTTCAGAATATTTTTGTTCTTTCCTTCTCTAACCTAACCTAATTCAGAATATGTGGTGAAAGATTTTGAAACGAACAGATAGGGAAAACTCCAGTCAGACCCAGGATGGACCACAGGAACAAAACATAAATAAGTTTCTCTTAGTCTGAAATGCACAGTACAAGCAAATCTCGGTTTACGAACGAGTTCCGTTCCAAGACGTTATTCGTCATGTGTATCTTGCATTCCTGAGCTTTTACGATACGCATCGCATCGTATCGTTAGCAGCAATTTTAAAGCATTAAAACCATGTACTAATTATCATATAATAATTTCCTGAGATTTATTGTAATAAATACATTTTTTAAAAGTTTATTTATTTAAATCTTAATTACTCAGTTAGTTATTAGTTACTTGCATTGGATAACTAATACTACATTTTTTGGCTAGTCAGTTACCAATCAGCCATTAGATCGTTTGTACATTCTAAGTGCAAGAAAGTTAGTTTGACAAACTTACCACCTATGCAGATGTAGGAAAGGTCATCTTAACCATTTTATGTCACTGATTAAATTGCCTTCTTGTCCCATTCCGCAACAATTCTCCTCTTGTATCACAAAACATCACGCACTTAAGTTTCAGACCACTTTCGTACGACAAAAACATGGCGCTTTAATCGAAATTCCACTTCCTCTCATTTATGTCGATATGTATATCGATTACAAAATATGGCCCAAAATCTTGAAACGCAAGCTCCTTCCCTCTGTTAACTAAATTCATAAGGAGATGCTCGCGCCATCTGTTATATAAATTCAGAACTATAAAACAAATGCGCAAAAATACGAAGACTTACAAATAAGTTCTTTTACAAAATAACTAAAAGAAAATTAACAGAGAGTGTGTGTGTCCATGCCTATGCATGGTAAAGCAAAATATTAAAGTAATGAAAACGGTAAAAACAAGCGAGAGATGCTTCCTTACAAAGCTATATCATTCACTCATCATACTGGGAAAAAAATTAAAATAAAAGCTACACATCATAATTAGACATATTAATTCTATGTATTTTTATACAAAGATTTTGGTCTCACACTAAGAAATAAGAATGGAGATTGATGGTGTATGTGACCGAACAGCTAAGAGAGATATGGTGTGTGCACACATTAAAATGAATAGACAAGAGAGATGGATGATTTCCTTTGACACTCATGTATGGACATGTCAATTGTGGTTATCTTGGCTGTGTAGTCCTGTAGGTTATTACCAGCATATCAGGACACTGCTAACCACCTGCAAGATTACACGGCATCACAAACCAAAGGACCATTGTCAACATCTTTACTGCCATGAGCTTTTTATGACATGTCTGTTGAGGGGCAGCAAGATTTCACTGCCATGAATCAAACTCTGGTTGTTCAGCCCTTAGCCTAGCCACTACACTCACCTATGCAGACTTTACATCAAGGCACCTAACACCAGAAGAGGATTCTATCAAAATTGGTGTTAAGTAAGGACTGAACTGGTCCAAAATAATTAACAATGATGGGTTTCAGTTTTAGAGGTGTTGAACCTGAGTTCATTTATTGTATGGATGGATGATACTAATGTGGCGGTTCAAATCTGATCTGGAATTCAGTCAATAAATCATCTTACTTATTTGACATTATACACAAGATAATTTCCATCTATATGTACATACTTACGCCATTCCAGCATCACAAAATTCTTTAAAGACAAGTTTGCACTGAATGGAGTCACAGTGAAACATTAAAAATTCCAAATCAAATTTGAATCATCCTCACAGGAGGCGATAGCATAATATGGTAACAGGCCAACAGGCATAAATCTGAGATGATGATGATATGAAATGCATATATGGGGAAAATATTTATTTCTTCCAGAAACGTTTCTATTACAAAATGAATCAATGAAATGTTCACGACTTCAGACAGAACCAATAACATCATGCATAGCATACCGCCATGTCCAAGAACGGGCGATATCTTCAAATGCAGAACGGTCTTTCACGTACAAATCACCAACAGCTGGTTCCATACACACCTACAAATATGAGTACAGAATTTTCTTATGACAGCAAATAAAGCACAGTATTGAAAATATGACAGAAAGCCTGATAAATTCCAACATAAGTTTTTGCAGTAGGAAATCATCCTCTCACCTCACATATCTTATAGCTGATACAGCATTATTAAATACCCAACAAATCAAAGAAGCCAGAACATACCTGACAGTATGGATCAGTCAGGAGGCTCTGCAAAGAGATGAGTACTTTTGATATGGTGAGTGCCAAACTCCAATTGTGTTGAATGGAATCAATACCAACGTGTCCATGACGAGACACATTTGGGTGGAAGATGCGTGTCAGGAAACGCACTATTGGTGGACACATAGGGTAACTGTATGGAACTTGCAAGTACAGGTAGAAGAGTCCACCCTCATAAGGGCTGCCAACAGGACCTGTTATGGTTGCCTGCCAGTGACAACATTTCTGATCGAGAGGAGCAGCTTCTATACCTTCCGGGGGATCGGTACGCAGACCTGAAGTAAAATTATATTAAATTCTTTACGGAAACCAAAAATCTATTATCATGTCAGCTTACAGATAACGAGGACTACAGCTCGACCGTCTGATAACCATTTCAATTTACTCAAACTACAGACTGACACTATCACGCTATTTAATTTAAATGTCCCTAACACACTACAATTCAGTACCACAAATCTTACATAGATATATTATATTTAACTATGTTCCAATACTTTAGATACTGCGGACATTCAACAAATTCATGGAAAAAAGGGATTTTCAACTTTTATAGCTCTCTGACTAGACTGCATAAACACAATCAATTGACATTTGGCATGTGGAAAATTTTTAAGCATGATAATTTACTTCTTCACAGACATCAGTAGCTACATGTTATATAGAAACCTGATAAAAGCAATTCACAGTAAGTTAAGCAGGACTTTTGGAAGACCGGAAAGATAGTTGGATAACTTTATGAATGTTCTTCGGTAATTTTCAAGTATGGTAGGCAGATACCAGTTTCTCAAGATTGTGTCCAAAGTATTAGTGATGATGAACCTTTGGCTTCTGCTACTGTATTAATTTCTAATTAAAAAAAAAGCAGTAAGAGAATTACAATTTTAAAGGAACAGAAACTGCTTCAGTCTACTGCGCATTCTGTGGCTAAGGCTGTGTCGTATAAGGACCATGTTCCATACCGTATCATTTCTCGCACTGAAATGCAAATTTTTAAAATTTCAACAAAGCGTGTTAGTCAGACTTCATTCTAAGAATACGGATCCTTATATTGCCATGCATTCAATTTTTCTTATCACAATTCCAAATACATTTTGACATTTCTGCCTTTACCTGCCTGTCACAAATAATGAAGTTTCTAAACAGTGGCAGATTACTCAGCAAGGTTAATTTTATTTATGAACATAAAGAAAGTTAAACACACACCAAGTTAAGTGGCTGACAAGTCAACAGACCATACAATGATAGCTTTTGTTTAAAAAGTTGAACATATAAGGAAGATACATAAATTAATTCAGGCTGTGTGTATAACATATATTAATATAATATTTAAACGTTCAGGTTTCTGAGTTGTACGTGCCAATAAAAGTAGTATCCTGCTCAGTTTCAATGCACGATGGCAGTAAATATGAAGAGATAAGGGAACCCCGACTACAAACCATAGCAGAGAAATGGAACACATTTACAAAGTTATCCGTGAAAGCTTAGGAATAAGGATCGCATGAAGAGAAATGAGGTTTAGCAAGCCTGAAACCCAATGTTTTGATATATTTGTGCGATCACTTATTCCCATACAACCTCCTCTACCATTTTATAAAGATGACAACTTACTTTTAAGTTCATTTCTGAGACGATTCCTTCTCCAGGAATTCTCTTCCCCAGGAGGTTGCAACTGTAAAGCCATCTGTCGTAAACAAGCCTTACATGGACAGCTGTCAATCCTATGAAATTAAAACAGAGCACATGAAAACTAAAAAGTAGGTTTCTAGGGGAAAATATTTTAATACTGCAGCTCACTTCAAGAATTATCACTTACAGTTCCGTGTATACTTTGAACCAATCCTGAACTGCACACAGAGGTTTGAAAAGGGGCCAGCGTCGCATCGTGTAGATCCGCCACTGCTCTCCAGCTACGTGAGTATGAAGCAAATGTCGCCAGCGTTTACACACGTTACCAACACTCCACAATGACATGTCATCTAGGTATGAAAATACTGCCAGCAGTACTGTAACAAAGAAAAGCTGTTTTTAATTTCCATTTCAAATGAAAACTAACAAAAAAAATTGCAACTCAGAGCTCTCAGCAGTTGTTCCACGCAAATTTGTGAAGCATGAGAAACACGTACAACATTTAGTGTACGATTCTAAAATTCTGCAAGGAAATACAATTTTTAAAAAGCACGAAACTTTCATCAAAGCAATATTTTACATTCTGGCCACTTTACCCTAGTACTCACAGAGAACGGACACTGGGTGGGCCCATGGCCACTTAGTCTGAAAGTAATAGCAAAGACAATAGATCCTGCCCCTGTGTTCAGAACCGAACCCCAGCATACAGCTCAGAGTACTGACTATAAATAAAATGTTAATCCAAATGTATCAGTGACCAGATTCTGACGGAATTAATACAGCAAACTACCTTCAGGAGGCAAACACTCAACCACTCCTGGACTGAGATCATCTTGTTCACGAGGACTACTCAGCATCTCTAGCCTCTCTGTAAGGCAATCAGGTTGTGGAGGTGCCACAAGAGGCTGAGGACATGGTGGTAGAGGAGGAGGCTCTTGCTGGCTCTGTCGCCTCTCCAGGCCATAATACAGGTCAGTTGGCTCATCATTTCCTGAGTCTCCATCGTCAGTTTTCTAAACAACAATGACACTTATTATTATCCTACAACTTATTTTAAAAAATGCAAATCCATACAAAAATTAAATTCTTGCACTAAAGATCTTTTATCCAAATTGCAACCACACTTCACATCAGTCAAAGTAACACAGACGCCTGTCTCCTGGCCATGTTGCAACACTACACTGTCAGATTTTGTTACAATATATCTGGTATCGTTAGAGAGACAAAATAATTTTGAGACATTTTCCTTTGAGTGCAGAAACCTGCTCCCCTAGTCACCATAATGCTGTACCAAGTGCAAAACTCCTGTTTATTTTAAATTTATATTTCCTTCATTCATGTGTCACATGATATATTGAGATAATTAAATATTATGATGCCAAACATGCTACTAGCTACTGGCATTTATCAAGAATCACATTTTCCACAAACTTTATAATCCAGCACAATGTACAAATCAGTTTCCTCTGCTCTCGCTAGGAAACGGGACAGCTCACTCAGAAGTAAAGTGACTAGGCTATGGGATGGAAACGTGAAGTTTGATTCCCAAATTGACAGGAATATTTTCCTTGCCACGATGTGAAGAACAGCTCTGGGCCTACCATCCCATACTGAGGGTCTTTCCTTGGAAGTAAAGTGGCAAGGGTTTAAATGTAACCACTCACCTCCATCTAGTGCCAAGGTTAAGAATGCATGGAGCTACGCATTAACCTCCACATACATCTGCATGGCATGGTGCAAATTTAATCACAACTTTCCTTTTTACCTTTAAATATGACTACGAAAGTATTAATGGCCTTGCCACCAAAGTCACAGGCATATTTAGTATGTACTTCTTTTGGATTGATATTCATATAGTATTCTTAAGTTACAAATTTTTTCCATCATTTCTAAATCTTATTAAATACTTTCTTATTCTTACTGTCATATTAATAAACTACAGCAGAAATTAATGTCTCAAAATGCAGTAAGTTTCACTGAAATCAGTACCCCAAATAATCCAAAAGACAGCTTCCTATGCAACAGGAGAAGTATCACAAAGGCTGTGTTAAGTAATAAGGGTGAGTAATCCATCACCTTTCCTACAATTTCATTCAGGATCCTTGAGCATAAAATAACTGCATACAACTTCAAAAACGGCTACAGCAGCATCATGCAAGCCACATGACATCATGAAGCACAAGATCTGTAACTTTTTGTACAATTTTATGTAATATTTAAGCACAGACTAAATTACTTTCTTACCTCACTGAAAATGGCGACAGCTTCTGAGTGACTCATGTCTTCAGGAAATAAAAATGCATGGCATGTTGCACAAACTGGTTCCTCAAAGCAAGGACCATAAAAACCATTGCATATGTAGCATGAGGAATGCTAGAACACAGTGATAATTCATTAGCGTATACTTCAAATTTGAAAAATATCCACAGCACTGTAAATGTTAACACCTTATCAGTCTGATTTTGTGTCCTTAGATGAACCAAAGTGAGCTTACCGAACCCGAAGGTTCATCACCGAATTAACCAAAGCCCTCCACCGGACCCTGTCCTGGGCCAACAAAATCCAGTCTCCTTCAACTCCTATCTCCCATAGATCCTGCCTAGGTCTCCCCAGCGGTCTCTTCCCCTCAAGCTTCCCAACCAATACCCGGTGTACACCTCTTGTCCCATCCATGCATGCTACATGCCACGCCCATCTCATTCTTCTCGACTTAATCGCCCTGACAATACTGGGGGAGGAGTATAAATTTTTAAGTTCGTCATTATGCAGTTTTCTCCAAGGTGAGCTATATTACATATGAAAAACAAACATTATAACCCACAAACCAAACTATGATGCTAATTCAATAAATAAAATTCAACTCTGTCTTCTGCTGCCACTAAGCAGGACCTGTCATGTGCAATTCAATCTGCTGGCCAATACAAAACTTATTTCTGGATGAAATTAAAGGCCATTCTTTTCTACATGGTCAGAGTTTGTAACACTTACCAAACACATTTCTGTAGAGACTAGAACAGAAACACAGGATGGAAGGTGAGAAGCAAGTATCAAGACATGAGACAGACCATAATAACCAGTGCCACTACACTAACTTGAGCTACTGCACAACAATTTTGCAATATACTGTTTGACCAAACAGGCCTCACTCTTAGAATATTTGTGCTTATTGGAGATTTATAGTTTGCCATGGCAGCAGAGACATTATTTGTAGTCTTCTGGTAAATGATGCTGTATGATTTAACATGATGTCATGTACCAGAAGACCTCAGTTGGCATTTGGAGATTATTTTTAAGAGATCAAAATCTTATAAGAGCTATTGTGTCTGTTCATGTTTCAGCACGGATACTACAAGAATGCTGTTTGGTTAATAAGGTTGACAATCTAACCTAAACTAAATGCTCCACTCCCAGGCAGGAGTCTAAATGAACTGTTTTTTCTATCTGAATTATGATCAGATGTGGAGAATCTCTTTATTAAAATTTTGAACACCTGAACAACCCTGCAGCTCTAGCGCATAAGTGCACTTATCAACTCTGAACAACTGTTTTTAACTTAGCACTGAGAAACCCCCTTTTGACTAACCTTCGTGAAAGACAAGGCATCCTTAAATAACATTTTCTTCACACAGTAATACGAATGTTTAAGCGAAATGCATAAAGAGGAAACAAGAACTGCCTGCGAGATTGGATCCCGTTACATTGTCACACGCCAAAAACAAATGCAATGCTTTACACAGACCACAGATCCAAGTGCAAACCTAAACGTCGATATTTTATAAATCCGTTAACTTACCGTATATTCGAAATATTCGCCAAACACTTGCTCGTTAGAATTATTTGTATCTGGCAGTTGAGCCTTACTTTGTGAACGCTGATCTGGTGTTACGCCCATCTCTAAAAGACGATGTGGATCAAAATCTTCGGTGCTACTATTCACTTTACAAATTTTCAACTCCATTATTCAATATTATCACACACGACCTTGGAAATCAAATATTGTAATGAATATAATTCTGCTTAATTAGCAATTATCAGTGAAACACAGGCTCTTTGTTACTGCATACTTTCATTTTTAGTCTTGTTAATGAGTGAGATTCATAACAAAGTCAACCTTACATAAGATAACGTAACATTACTTAAAATTGACCTTAGGTTGATTGCGATATATCGCAAATTGATCTGTTGATATATCGCACAACTGATATATTGTATTATATTAATGGCACGTGAAGTTAACACATAAATACAAAGAAGAGTGATTACGATTAACTTACAAGATTGGACTTAACGCAGGCATAAAATCGGTAGAGATACCACAATATAAATTAATGTTATTATATATTTAATTGTAAGCTTTGCATAAACAAACGTTAATTTGTTTTAGTGATTGTTCACATGGAAACAAATGTACGACTTAAAACCCATTCAGATGATCCATCTGAAATACAGTTGTTGCTGCAACAAACACATGATGAGGTAAGCTAAATATATGCGGTAGGCAAATATTATTGTATCTAAAAGTTCAAATAAGTTAGTGTAAAGGATGTGTGCCAACCATAATCACGTTGGTATGGTTTGGTATTATGCTGCATTCTTCATTATGTCACGTTGTTTCGCCATTCCCTGATTCTGGATGGTATATCC